ACCAGTGCTTTAGCGTCTTTAGGTTGCACTACGTAGAGGGCAGGTATCTTTGAGCCGATTTTATAGGAACTTTGTAACCTACCACCTCTTCTGCTGACCATAATTAATTATACCACTAGATCGTTGTAACTATGGGCATTAATCGATCCGACTCGGTACATCCAAACTATGCAAACCTGCACCCACATTGTACAACTACTTTAACTGTTTTCTTCTAAATATTCTAAAGGTCAAATTGCTGATTCTTTAGATAATATAATTAATTTGGGCTATGCGATAGACCTACCTCCACGTGGTGCATCCTGAACAACGTATATTCATACGGCAAAAAATTCTATTAACTGGCAGTTGACTTCTCACTTCAAACTACCATCACCTCACTCTATGCCATATTCGACTATTTCCATAGTACTCACCTCACTTTTGTTCTACCTTTACGTTTGTCTCTTACATCTTTGAAACACTCTTCTGTTCCCCCCCCCCCTCTCGACTTTTTCAATTCGATGTTCCTTCCCCTCTGTGAAGCCTGAAGTCCACTAAAGGGCTAATGATAACCATCAAGACGCCTGCCATTTTATGTAAATAAATAAATATAATTAATTTAAAAAAATAAACACTGACCTCATAACCAATATAGGGCATTTCTTTTAGTGAGTCCACCTCTGAATCAGAGCTGAATTCGGTACTTTGTCCAGACACGTTAGCCTTAAAAGTTGTCATTGAAGTGATACCGCTTGCCTCAGCTTTAATATCCAAAATCTCTCCAATCTTTATCCCAATGGCTTCACACAGCGTATCGATCTCAAAACTTATTAATGAATTAATGCATCTTACCTCCGTTTTAATACTACAATCTGTAGAGCTCTGGTCATAGAGGCATTTCAAAGGTCGCAAAAGACGTATCACATAAGGATTGTACGGTCGTATAAGTGAGCCATTCAGACCTTTTAGAAATTGGGTCATGAATCGGAGAACGTGGAGAATATCATCCTTGCCCGCCAAAATCGCATCTTGTGTAAGCGCCTTCATGTCTAAATCCTTGTCAAAAACTAGTCTATTTTGGGTTAGAGTCACCAACCCCAGAAATCTGCCTAGCTTCTTTAAATACGTCAACTTCGATTCACTTAAATCCCCTCTCGGAAGATCAGCAAGTATGATCTATAAAAGAAACATGAGCATATTAACTTCAAATTTCAGTTCATTCTGTGTTATACTCCAAGGATAAATAAATCAGCATCTTGAGGGGGAGACACAAGGTTTGTTAATAGCTTACAACTCTCATTGCTTGTTGCCTCAATATTTTCCTGTCGCTCCNACAATATCGGGCGAGTTGGCTAACGAGTGAGAATTAAAATGAGAGCAGGAATCCACTAGTGACATTCCTTTCATCAAAATGCCGCCGCTAAATTCTTGAGCGAAAAGTGGTCACTTGTGCGCGTAGGCATATGCGTCGAAGCGCCTTTTCTTCTTCTTTGGACGCCAATAAGAAAAGTTCATGTTCAAAACCAACAAAAAGTTCATGTGCGCAGTGACAAAGTGCGTACAAGGTGAACTTATTTCACTAAATAGGCAGTTTGGAAGAGAGAAAAAAAGGTAATTTATTGAGAATATGCGTCTGAAAAGTAAACTGTGAAGAATTTATTTTGGTCAATTTTAGTCTATTAACCGGCAGTTGACTTCTGACTTCAAACTACCATGACACCACTCTATGTCATATTCCACTACTTCCACAGTTCTCATCTCACCTTTTTCACTCTACCTTTGTGTCTGCCTCTTTTACATCTCTGAAACACTGTTCCGTTCCCCCCAATCAACTCGTCTTTTTTTCACTTTGATGTTCCTGCAAAGCCTGAAGTCAACTAATGGGCTAGTGATAACCATCAAGACGCCTGCCATTTGATATAAATAATTAAATTTTAGTCAATTATTGCACCCCCGAATTCTCCACTGCTGCATGGAAGGCAATCTAAGGAAGTAACCACGACAGACTGCAGACAAACATAGGGAAAACAGGTATCGTATAGAATAGGCTCCATTCTAGATGAGACAGCAATGGATTCTGTTTGATGTTCCATCTTCTTACAAATTATTAAAGACCTTAATACCTTTTCATTAAAAATTGACTTATATATATATATATATATTATTTAATAAATACACATTGGGTCAACCTAACCCCACAGCAAAGCCGAAGGGAACCCCAGATGAATCAAAATAAGATGATTACTAAGTTGACACAAAATGAAAGAATTGGGTGGGATGGTCTCTATGCAGAGGGCAATTAATAGCGGGATTGTAAATAAAATTATGCCTCTGTCCTATTTGAGCATATTTTCTACCAGTCCACTTCTTCCATCGCTGTGCTCACTTCATTACCTAGTGCCCCCCCCCCGTTAGTAAACTAAGCACTTAGGCATGGTCATAGACTGCGTGATTTAAAGTTACTAATTAGAAAATGTCTTTTTTTTCATTCTCTCTGCCATAACACACTTGAATAGGTTTCGGTGTTCCAAGTGAGGGCAGGGTTGGGGGGTTTGAAAAACTCCCGGAAATATTTGTGAGCTTTTACTTGATGATTTTGCCTTCTTTTCAATAGGGTTACGGATCAACCTCTAAATGAAAATAAAGATGAGTTAATTAGATTTGACCTAACCGTGCGAGACAACAGTCAATATGGTTGCCTGCAATACCAGAAGCCATGAAATTCAGCTTTATCGAGGCACCTCCACGTGGTGCACCCTGGGCGACGCATATTCATCATATGACAAAAAGGTCTATTAACTGGCAGTTGACTTCTGACTTCAAACAACCATCACCCCATTGTATGCCAAATTCGACTACTTTCACAATACTCACCTCACCTTTATTCTACCTTTGTGTTTGTCTCTTACATCTTAGAAGCACTCTTCTGTTCCCCCTCCCCTCTCGACTTTTTTCAACTTGATATTCCTCCTCCCCTCTGTGAAGCCTGAAGCCAACTAAAGGGCTAATGATAACCATCAAAACGCCTGCCTATTGATATAAATAAATAAATGAACGCATCCACCTGTGTATTCATTATCAAAATGAATTACATTACAGAGAGCACTGACCTTTTAATCAACATGTGTATCAGGGTTGAGGTGAACGAGGTCAAAAAAGAATCTTGTTTTCCTGTAATCAGAAGTCTTGTTTTGCTCAAAACAGGAGGGTTGAGTACTCGAGGAACAAACAGCATGATAAAATTTTGAGGTGATGGGTAGAATGGCCTGTCGAAATGGTCGCAATCTCGTAGACAAAGGAATACGTGGACTGCAATTTTTAAAATCAATAAAATATTTTCCCGGAGGGGGAGTGGGAACACGAAACCAATTAGTGGCAAGATACGCCTTCAGATGTCCCCTCGAATTGCATGTTGAAAGTGGAGGAAAATCGGAAGTTCATCACTTACCCNCCCCCCCCCCTCTCCTTTCTACGATGTAAATGGAATGATAATCAGATGGAAGTAATTGAACGTGAAGCAAACAGGCACAGATGATGAATTATATTTTTATGTGTGACCGTAACAAAGGAAAATGCATAGGACACAAAGGAACAGCAAATAATTAAATTTGCTTAAATTACCTTCCTTACTCACTTTGATATGACTTTTGGTGTGCTCATTGGTTTAACCACACAAACTTCACCATTATAAACCGTTACTCTTTGCGATTGAAACGATGAAACTCCATAACTAAAGAGCATTGGAGCCGGTACGCCAAATACTTGTTTATCTGAAACTTCTTCACTAACGATGAAAGCTGTCAAGAATAGATTGTATGTGTAAGTGACTACGTTGTGATTAGATAACTCTTATTAGAATACTGAAAAATTTCTCTTAGCTGCAAGACAACAGCACTTTTAAAGTCTTCTAAAGAACTATTTTCTACTCACCTCGGGGACAACGAAAATTCACTCATTAGAACAGTTCAATGAGGTTAACAACCCCCCCCCATTCAATCCCATGGTCCAACTTATTTATTGAGCAACAATAGAGCATATAATTTGTATCTATTTAACTTCATGATTACTCCAAATTGTTGGGATGTGCAATGTTTCGTATAAAACAAACGCCTCTCTGACTGGTTCAACTCGTTGACAGTAGGTAGATTAAGCTAACAAGAATTTTCCCAGGAAAATGGAGGGAAATCATTGAGATTTAAACTTCTAGAATGTGGGGAATAGAGGCACTCATTACTTCTACAGTGGCAAATCACGATAATATACTGAATCCACCCCCAACTTCTACTCTGCCCTCAATCAAATCCCACGGGACTACGTAAAATATAAATTCTAGTCATTACAAAACAGTCACATCAATTGTGATTTCGAAGAAATGATGATGACCTCACCTCTGTATCCTTCAAACCAATCAGAAGAGAAGAAATATGAATTTCCTTCGCATTGTATAAAAATATATGTTGAAAAAGAAAAGCGTGAAATACCATTTAGGAACCTACTTGGTGTGAACTTCGCTGGGTTCTACCATATTAAAGTACATATTTTCTGGATTCGCCCGATTGCTATTGGCCTTAGAAAAGTGCAAATGCTATAGGGGTTAGATCAGACACTAAATCTAACCAACTTTTAGAATATGTCCTTGACGAAAATCAATGTCACAGCAAATAAATAATCCCTGTTTTAAATATTTTATAATTTTTCGAAGATGGTGGACAATTTTTGAAAAGAGTATGCAGTATACAAGTTCTAAATAAATTTAAGGCAAAAATAAAGTCCCTTAAAAATTTAACTAAATTAGACTATGGAATTCAGCCTCGGAATTATTTTCTTGAAGGCTTATATAACATTGCCTAGTTAAATTAGACAATGTGCATATTGGACAACTTAAAATGGATAATGTAAAGGCGGAGTGAGTATTAGGGGAAATGGAGAATCCGACGGGACGGGGAGGAGGCGGGGTTGTGACAAGAGGCCATAGAAGTATGAAAGCGAGTTATATAATCCTACGTTTATTGTACGTTACTTGCCATTCTAAACAGTTAGTAATAACACCGCAAAATAACTTGAAACCAAGTTCCACTTGAAATCTTTTGGGCCTATTACATCCCTTTTCCCTAAGTTACTATAACACCTTATCTTTCCCAAACTATAAAACAGAATTAAAATTTTTGTTGAAGTTTGTTGACATTCCTTTCCGATTGAAAGAATTCGAAATTTCTGCATAATATGAATTAAAAGAGTGCCAATAAATTAAATCTAGGCTTTATAAAAATGTTTATCTACCTTTTTCTGAGTACGCTCAAGTGAGACAAGAGGAATGATGGGCATAAATCTTTGTTTTCGGTGTGTTAATGCGGAGCACAGTCGTCGATGAAGGAATTGTGTCTCATTATTTTCTTTCCCTGCAGATCATTTTAAGAGTGTCAGAACTCAAAATTCAAATTAAATTTCCACTTGGGTCCATTCAAAACCTTAATGATAGTATCGAACAATAACAAACTTGAGGGTACCCTAAACTAAGAAAGATGTCTAATTTTGAGGTTGAACTCATGTAGCGCTACAATTAAAAAACTAGCTCAGTGGTTTCCTCTGGAAATTCTAAGTTTCAATTAAGAGAACTTCATATTTAGACCACAAAAAGTCTCGCGTTCTCCCAACCCAAAGCATCTTTTGAATATTATAAAACGTCGAACTACAGTCTTTATTTTGTCCTGATAGTCTTGGCCGAACACTCCGTAGTGTCAATTCTTGCTACTGAAATAAAGGATCCTACCTCAAATGAATTAGATCAAAAGTACAAAGTTCAAAACTGCCAACTGCGTATATGTTCATGGGAAAGAAGGCAACACTTTTACACCATCAACGGACTTACAGTTCTTGGACTGTCGATGCTCAAGTTCCGATTGTACCTCAAACATTATTTTGTCATCATCAAGATTAGCATTAAATTAAGTGCTAGTCCGTTCAAAAGATATTTTGAAGAAATGGAAACATCTGGTTTTCGAGAAGAATAGCTTCGCTTTTCCAGGAATCAAATCTCCCCCCCCCCTACCCTTTCCCGGACTATTTTCTTTCAGCCATATCTATTTATATCCATCTAAATAGCTACCTTTGTCGATTCACAGGCATGTATAATTAAGAGACGCTAGCAAAACTCACTTTAACTTCTCTAATAACTTCGGAGACAATGAATTCATGATAACCGGGGAATCGTTTATCTGTGTTCATCACAACTTCAGCTAATGTGTCCAAGTTAATATCCGATCTTCTAACGAAATGGGGCACAAACCATGGTGCCCTGATAGCACTTATGATTTCATATATAGTATCTGAATCACATCTCTTCATTTGCCGCTTGGAAATCGTCTTGAAAATGAGGTTACAAACCTTCTCACCGTTTACATCCATCCGCATTTGTAATTTTGCTAAATAAATAGCTGGAAGAAATACGAAATAATAAAGTATTAGTATAAAGAAGTAGATTTGAAAGCTAAACAGAGCAAAAAGAATTATGCTATCGTTTTTTTAATTTCGAATTTATTCGCAATTCAATGAACAAAAAGAATTTTGAATAAAGCTCACTCCGTCCATGGGAAGAGAATATTTTTCGATGCTCGTCTAGATGCTCATGAAATTCTGAGATCAATACTTTCAATCAGCAATAAGCCTCGAGCCTATAAACTCAGTAATTTCAAGAGTTATGCTACAATAGGAAGTGATTATATTAAAGGCCTTTTACGGAACTGTATGGGAATAAACTGAGTCTGTTACAACTATATTTTAGGAGAAGATTTCTTAAAAATTGTATGGGGCGTGGAAGGGACAAAAATAGGAGTAAGGCCTCCCATTTAATGTCTTTATACCAAATATATTTCAGCAAATATGAAAAATTCAACTAATTTCATCAATCTCACCTCATTTCTATCTTACCTTATTCAATCAAAATGCATCGCAAAGATACAAAATATTCGTTGAATGCTTTCGTGAAATAAGGAATTAAATTTATCACAGCAAGTAAAAATTGAATCTGATTGCAATTAGAAAGTTAAAGGATTTCCTAAATTATTTTCGAAATAAATACTTTTTGATCATCGTCAGCTTAAATTGTCTCGATGAAAAAGTCATGTGTTTTACGTTTGCTTGAACCGTTTTCAAATGCCGCATCAGAAAAAATCAATTGGTAATTAATGGTGGCCTCTCTCGCGAAAACTCAGCTTTTTATTGTACAATCGCATTTTTCTTGCTTTCTCTCTAATCCGCTTCATTTTAGTCGCTGTCGTTCAATAAATTCTGGTCCTACGTCAATTCTATATTCTTGATCTTGGGGGAACTGGTTGCTTGTAGTTAACACTGTTCGATAGGTATCCTATTCCACAACAAAACGTCCGTAGCAAATATAATTAATACCACTTGCAAGATTTGTCTAAATGCAAAATTCGCATACTTAAACTAAATTCAAAACAAAATTTAAGCAATATTTAGAATAAGATTCGTGAACACTGATCATTTCATCGATAAAAGAACAATCGATGCAGAAGTAACTTACGCCATGGACAAACAAAGGTTCTTCCTTGAACAGATTTCAAAGTTTTAAGTGGCATTTAGTAAGAAAATAGATAGCACAGTCTTGATCATAAAGTATATACATTCCTATAAGGGACTCGATCTTTTCATTTTCTTAGGCTATCTTTTTGAGAAAAGAAATGAAATGATGTATTTGAATAGACTACAGGTGGAAGGAAGAAAGTAGTGACAATCAGATTGAATACTTATAAATATGGTTTCTGGCTCCTTATTTACCAAATGTAAATAAGGAATATAAATATGGGAAGTATGCACCCTCGAGGCTATTTGGGTCTTTAAGTCTGTTTGAGAAGCTAGAATCAGGACATTTCGAGAATATTATCTACTTAGATTTTTACTCCATTTGAACAAAATACTGTACCAAAGTAACATTTTCACAAAAATGCAAATATTGCTACACAGTGCATACCTATGAGAAGAGGAATTAACGAGAATCATTATTTTTAAAAGGGTTCCCTTTAGTAAAAGACTCTTTGTAACATGAACAGTCTCATTATTTTGAGTGTGCGGTTGAACTTTAGATTCTGAAGCAAGCCGATTAAATTTATCTCAGTTAGGTTAGCAAGTACGTAGAACCGTATTATATTTTAATCACCAAATTCGTGCAGTAGTTAGTGAAAAGTAGGCTCCGTCTGAGCATAAGTAGATTATGGGTTGATGGCGTCAGTTTCATCTTTATGCTAAGAGAGGCCTAAGTTGAATTAGAGTTTTCCGAAAATTTGCGTAGGGCTCGTGAACTAAAAATACCATTTCGTGAAACTATTTTTGGAACTAAATTACCGCCCATAGGCGATAATATATAAATCAAGTTTTTTACCTAAGAAGATTATATACGCTTCCGTTTGTGTCTAGCGAGCGCGTATTGTGCATTCGGAATGACTAATCCCGTATGAGGAGAATCAAATTTCAGTCCTAAATAAAGAAAAGCTGTAATACTTCATTCTAGCATTTGACCCTAAATAACCGCCCACTAGAATAAGCGTCCATGGACGTTCTTTCGGACTTGTGAGCTTTCGAAACTCTCCGGCATAAGCCAGCATGATTTTTCATTCAAATGATCAAAGTCAAAGGATAATATTGCTTTATATGATTTTAGAATATAAATTTATAATTCGCATCGCATGAATTTAAGTGTTGTGCCAATCGTAGAGCTAGTTTTGAGAAGAAACCGGAGAAATCAAACATTTATTTACAATCTACGGATTTTGAATAAAAGCAACCAATAAGAACTTAATACAGTCAATAAAGAAAAATTATTAAGTATCCCCAAACCTTTAAAATATTAATGAAGTGTATTTTGATTAAAGATCTAATCATAGATTTAAGCTTTGCATATCAGTCTGACATGAGGATGGATGTAATTAGGAAATGTAATAAATTAAATATAATTACTTGAATCTAAAACACTTTGAAAACGTGCCAAGATAATAGATAAGCGAATTTGAAGGTCGCCAGCAACAAAAAGGTACGAAGAATTGACCACTCTATTAATTACTTTATAAATTTTATTATGTATAAGCTTAATAAGAAAATATATATGTACCGAAAAACAGATTTTCAGAAATACATATGAAAAATGACCTAAAGTTCATAACCTCATGTTCATTGAAATTTCTATTTTTTAGAGAAATTTGTTTGAACTGTTAGCATAGGACCAAATTGAAACCTGTTTGAGGTCATTTAAAGTAACGCCTTCACTTATGGGGCGTCTTATATGAACGGTGCGTCTTTTTAATCGGTCTTATGTATTTGAAATGCTCATTAATTCGGTGTTCAATAAAGTTAACTATCTTGGAATGATTGTCTATAGGTATAATTTTATTATGTTATGTTTGATTTTTCTGTATTTGTACTCGTGACAAAGTAATTGCCCACTGCCACTATATAACTTGTAACGAATGCGTGTTTTTTTTATTTTAGCTTACACGTTTCTTTTGTGGTTCGGTTCTGTGAGCACTCGTACACTACTTTGTGTTGATAGATGACGTATTTAATGGGATCAGATAATGTGCTTATTTGCTCCACCTTTCTTTGTTGGAGACAACAATCTAACGGCCCTAAAGAATGCTATCTTCGACCCCATTTACTTTATCTTTTTATTTTGTGAACTACTTTATCTTAACCTTTTGCTTCATGCTATCCCTTTTATATCATCCATCGTATTTATAGTTCGTTTTGACAACGTTTCTTACTAACGGTGCACACTGTCCCTAAGACCTGACTTTCTTAATATCTAATTTACTTAATATTTAAGTGTTTCCTTCCTACCTGAATATTTTACTTTTTATTTTTGTATACAAATCCTTTGTGTTTTTTTTGTTTTCTTATGTAACTGACCTATCTAGACTCCAATTTTTGCAAGTAGCCTATGCTAGGTAATGTGCTTCTGTAGTGGTTGTTTGTTTACATTTATGTTTTGAGTGTTTTAATGGTAGAAACCATTTTGGCTTTTTGTAATAGAGAAAACATTTTTTGATTAGTGTAGCTTATCACCTACATTACTGAAAAATATATCAATGTCTATTGACCTTTGCCGCAGATGCTTACAGACGCATTATGCCCCTCTTATAGATTTATTACCCCTAACTTAGCTTTGCTCAGACTAATTTTTCTTTTTGTTTAGTTTTTATTTCTAGATTGAAAAGTTCTTTGCTCTGTATCTGGGTTTGTAATTTTGCGCCATCTTAACTAGTTTGCTGAGTTTAATTAGTACTAATATAAGTGTAAAATGAAAGCGTTTCCACAGGGATGGGCTTTTGTTCCGCCTTATTTGGTACGTTAAAAGAATAGATTTTTCATTGTCAAAAATATTCTGAGCAGGCTTATTGATGGCTCGTCGGATCCTGGGTAGCACACGCATGGACTGCATTTTGTTAATTTTAGATAGTTTGTGCTTTAATCTCTATCAAAACTGCTGGATAATATTGGAGAGTTAGTAGAGCTCCCAGCTTACATGAATGCGTAGTGTTTATACACTGGCACCTATTTGGCCAAAGAACTTGCTCAAAACACATCGTGCTTGACGTAGATGTGGCCTTTTAAATAGCCGTTTAGATTAAAATAGTTCGATTGTTTTCCCGAATAGAGGCTGCCTTTTGAACATTTTTGGGGCCTATTTGGTTTCCCGCTGTTATGTACTTTTATTAAACATGGGTTGAGTTTTTTACAATAGTTTCAGCCATGTCTAAGTGTAGTAATTATTTCTATTCTAGCCAATAAAGCTGATAAATTAATAGTGGTTTCACAAGTTCAAGAGACCAACGTCGAATGTCTGAATAAGCCTGACGAATTCTCGGATGTTCTATGTGGTTTGAAGTTGATAAGTGTTTATCAGAAACCTCAATCGGTAATCTAGTCTGTTTGCGTAGTTCATATCGATCATATTTGTATGCATTCGCTTAAAATTTAACCAGAAATGCAGTTCTTCTGGTTTTAGTTAATACGATTGCTGATGACATGAGCAGTACGAACTTGTGAATTCTCCCTGTTCAATATATTGCTTCATTGTTGCTCAAAGTATGATTTATTGCGGACTTGATCTAACTTTGTTCCAAGCTTAGCCTTATCAATTGCATAGTGCGCCCCTATCAGGTCATTAGGATGGCCCATTTGCCGCATTTGAGTAATCATACGACTGCCAAAATTTCATTACGTCAATTCAACATCTGTCCAATCGTTTGAGGAGTTGATTTATATATTCGTCTTAGCTTCTTGTGCTATTGGTTAATTTAATGACACAGACGCCTTGATGGCCTCTATCCGCAAATTGCCACTAACACACCACAGCATGTAACCCGATTTAAGCAAACTTCCAGATAACACCGTTATTCCATTTCCGTGTGGTTTTTAATTCAGTACGTTCTCCAAGTTATTTAGTTGTCTATACATGGTTTCACTGTTTAGTTGTTACTCTAATTCCTGTACTCCTCTATTCGGTGAATTCCAGTCAATATGCTTCCATTCTCTTCGGAGTTCTTAATAGGGTTTGGACATTGTTGCTCTGTTGATAAAAGGCAGAATTCCAATTACAAATCATGGTTCATTTTTCTTTGCCTTAGAAACTTAATTTCTGGCTGTTTTCTGTGATCTCCTAATATACCCATATTCTTGTTGTTTTTATTCAATTTTGATAATGTGAAAATATTTTCCAATTGCTTTAAAATTGTCATTTAAATTGCCATTGTTGATGTAAACAAAACACAAATATGTTACTCGTTTCTGTTTCGTACTTTTTTCTCGTTCGCGACTGAATTAATCGCCCATACCGACGATTCAATCCTCCACGCCATATTTGGAATGCTCTTCCTACCTCTAGGAAAACCAGTGTTTAATGGACATTTTCATTGGTGTGATCAAAATGTGTCTTCCTTCCATTCACATCTACAACCTTTCAATCGATATTTATTCTTAAAATGCAAAGGAAAGCTGAGCCGTAGGAGTCCTCTTGGTGACTATTGTGGCCAATTCTCATCAATTCAATAAATTACATTCAGCCCCAATTATGTCTTTGTTTTGATATTAACCCCCTCCCCCCTTCCCAAAAAGTATACCTAATTTATGCCTTTGTTTTTTGCAGACATAATTTCTTAATGAATTCAGAAAAAATGTCAAATGACGAGACACAAATCCAAAATCATAGGAGAGACGCTCTAAAGGCCTCTGCTATACATGACATTGTTGAGAACATCGATAGCTTCAATATAGAGGCAAAGACGGAGAATTTGCTAGCACTTATGAAGCGGAGGGATGTTGTTCCTTTTCTGGAGGCAGTTGTTAAACTTCGAGTTCCTAAAGATGATTTGAATTCGGAGTTGCTTGCTAATTTGGTAAAGCGCATCAATCGCCACTTTCCTGGAACTAGAGAATGGGCGGTCCTAGAAGGAATGGAAATAGTGAAGGTGAGGAAATGTAGTTTTTTTTTAAATAGACGGGGTTATTGGTCTAATCATTAATTTAACGCCAGTCTGATTTAATTTTATTTAATTTTTAGGATATTTTAATCAAGTTACCAAAAATTGGATTTGATTCAGGCAAGGCAATGGATCTGAGAAATCTTGGACGTTTTCTGGGACTTTTGATACGCCACGATATTGACTTTGACATTGTGAATCAGCTGCGTGAAGCAATGCGAAGCAGCACCGATGATTTGCGCTATGTCGTTCCGTTTGTATGCCAGTTTCTGTCGGGTGGTGCTTCAATTCCTATGAAATTTAAAATTTTGAAATTGTTGAAGCTGATTCATGACAAGGACAGTAAGATAAAAGAGGTTAAAAGCGAGGTAAGGAATAATTAATTTCATTCATCATGGTCATTTAGATTGAACTCTTGTTTGAAACCCTCGAAATCGATATGCACACTTTTCCAAGTGCAAAGCACGTGGGTGCAAGTGGTGTTCAAGGACAAAATCCCACCAACCACAGTGATTAATTTAAATAAAAGGTAGAGGTAGGTCAATTGAAGGGTGAATATCTAGTTAATTTAATTCTTTTAACGAAATATCTAAAAAGTGTATTTTGTCATTTCTAGGACACAATTCGATATTGGCAAATGGAATTACGTTTATATATTCACCGCTTTTTAATCCCTTTGCCTTAGCTATCCCCGCACTCCTCACCTCCCCCCCCACCCTTCCATATTTTCTAGTTTTGATATTTGACATATGACTATACCGCCAATGCTACCGAATATTTGTAAATTAAGTAGTGAATTATACCTCTCTATACCCCCTTTTCCGCTTTTCGATGGAGAGATGAGGACACAGGTCCAAAGCAAACATTGCCTATAATTTTGATATTCGCATACGTAAATGAGGGGGATAAACTGAAAATTTTATAAGCGTTATGAGATATTGAACTCCTAGTGGCGTCCCAGTAGGTAAAATCAAAACCCGAACAGCGAGTTTCCCTTAAGGGGAGAGCGGATGTAGAACACTGGAGAATAAACAGCAAATATGAAAGAATAATTCAAAGCAAAGAAGCGGTTAATCACGAACTACTTCCTCGAGGTTTTTAGCGAAAAGTGTAAAAGAGCTTTCATTGTGGCCTTTAAGAGAACGGATTTTACAAAGTACATACAAAGGAGATCCCCAAAGTGCTTAATAATTAGTGCGTAGGCCTAGGAGTCAACGGTTATTACAAAGCTTCAGAGTACATTCGATGAACCAAGATCATAAGGCTAGTTGTTGTTATTTGTTTTCGATAAGACTGAAACACTGCAATACTCCAACACTAAAGCCTCTAGCAGTTCGAAGTGTAGAACAGAGTTGACTGCCTTGCATTCTTGATCTCAAATGGGCTTTGGAGTATTTTAGAAATTAGTGTATTTAGGAAAAAACACTTATCAGTAGCCACAGAGCAAATGAAACGCACTAAATTTTGTCATGCTAAATGGCACTCAATGGCTTTTTATTCGAACTTTCAACTACCGGTTACAAGCTAGAGACAACAGTTCCAGCAATACGCCAAAATATATTATCCCTAACCAATATCAAACAGAATTATACAACAATGTTCTACTTTTTTGAGATTGACCTTCTTTCCTAAACAATCTTTATAAATTAAGATGAGCAAATAACTGGGGTAATGAATAAACCTGATTTATTGAGGCCTTGAAGGCGAGAATTAAGTGGCTTGTTATTTGCTGTGATGAAGCTGACACGAGTAATGTTGGTCCAAGAGTTCGTGTATAAACTACTATGGATGGATTTTAAAATATCATAAAATAGAAACGAGACGTGCCTGACACTACATTTTAACAGAGAGGGGTGTGCGATAGTCTTACCTCTACGTGGTGCACCATGGGTAACGTATACTCGTACGGCAAAAGTCTATCAAACCGGCAGTTGACTTCTGACTTCAAACACAAGTCTATCAAACCGGCAGTTGACTTCTGACTTCAAACTACCATCACCCTACTCTATGTCATATTCGACTACTTCCACAGAACTCACATCACCTCTTTTCTACCTTTGTGTCTGTCTCTTTTACATCTTTGAAACACTCTTCTGTTCCTCCCCCCCCCCCTCTTGACTTTTTCACTTTGATGTTCCTTCCCCTCTGTGGAGCCAGAAATCAACTAAAGGGCTAATGATAACTATCAAAACGCCTGACATTTGATAAAAGTAAACATTTTAACTGAGTAAAATCAAGACAAATTTCTAAAACTCTTGGAATCCATAATTCTATGTCTAATTGTTCTCAATATGTCCGCATTTAAACTATTTTCTCTTTCCTGGTTTAAGGGTTTTTGCCTTGACTATTTAAACGAGTAAATTGAAAAATAAAAACATATAATACAAACAAAACGGCAAACATGAATTTATAATGGAGTAACAAAAATACTTAAACTCCACCATATGTTCGAAGCCAATTCTAATACCGACTGGTCATTCACCATTTACCTCAAATAAACATGAAGTAGTTCGAACAACCAGTTGGGTGTGAGGATTGAACTCTCGATTTATCGATCTCTCCCTAATTAAAGTAGATCAGTTCAACATTACGTATAAAACACTAGCTTAGTTTCAATGTGTAAAACGAGTTGAGGGTCTAAGGACAAAACATGTGACGTCATACAAAGTTCGCCGTTTAGGGAAAAATTGCGCCCTATTAGCGTAGAGCAGCAGACAATCGCATGAGGCCAATGAAATTAAAAATATGTGCATGCCAATGAAATCGCAGCAAATACTGTTCATTTAGTTGAATGATGGAAAATCCTATGTAGTGAGTGAAATTGCAGTAGTTATTACTTTGCATAAAATAAAAAATCTGTAAATACCGGTATTACTTGCCACTTTTCCTTCTTCTGTCTGCTATTTTAACTTAACATCGTAATTATTTCTCTCAAATTAGGCCAATACGAAGTAAGACGATCCCCAAAAATTTGACAGTGTTATTTGCTAAATAGAGTGGTGCGTTGTATGCGAAAAAGCCTATAAAAAATTTCGGCAAAAGCGAAAATATGACAAAGCAGGAAAAAAAGTCGGAAAAAGAGGAGAAGAAGTTGTTCAAGACGATACCAGCCACAGAAGTCTGTAAGGCAGAGTTTGCGGAAAATATAAAGAAAAGGAATAAATTAGTAAGAATCGATAATGATTTCTTTTCCAGTGAATAGACTAGCCAACAAATTAGTTTGCTGAAAGAGTGTAGCGACGCTTCAAGTTTGAATGAACTAGTTAGAAAGCAGTTAGCTCGACTCAAATATGAATGCGTAATGCAGTACGGTCATATATTGAGACCTGAACACACTGAGGAGATTAGCGAGGATTCAAAGCTACAAGCACTGTTGAGTACTAAATCTCCGCATGGAAACTCAAGCCCAAAGTCGCTAACTAAATTTGAGTAAGGATGTAATATTGATATTGAAGAATTGCTCTACACCTCTAAAAACGGTACTTCTTGTTTTCTCCATGAACCTATATTTTTTAAAAAAATATTAATAAATTATGGACCTTTTCTTATTCCCTTATGGTCGTAGTAACTAACAAACCAATGGGAATAATTGATTAGATTAATTTAGGACACTGTCCACTGTGGTGTATAATAGAGTAATAGATATGCAACAAAATTAATTCTCATCATATATTGAAAACCTTCCTGGGGGTAGGAAATGATTGTAACGACAAATAGGGCATAATTAGTAATAAGTGAATTATTACGTAATGGTTGGAAATAGATGGTTGGACTGTGAGACGAAAAATATGCATTAAAAGCAAAATAGATTGGAGAATTGGTTGAACTTATTGGGAGTTGAAATAGGGTGGAAGTCAATAGTCAGTACAGGGTATCCAAAACCGTATTTTAATGACTTAACACAGTGCAGTGGATTCATGCATCATCATCATAATCATACCAACCTCAAAAAATGCTTTCACTTCAGAGGTACTATTTCCTTGATATTGTTGAAGTAGGTAAATTAATTTCGGGAAACATTCCATATTTGATGATTTCGCTATAGAGATAGGTGAGATACGGTCATGGCTAATTCGTGTAGCATTCCCTCCAACTCTCAATTTATCTCTTTTAAAATCACTTTAAAATAACAATGCAAATTAAATGTGAAGATCATAACAAAGAAGACTTACCTATAATGTTATTTTAGTATGCCAAGTAAGTATAAACAAATAGTTGAGCATACTTCCATTGAGAGTGAACAGCCGAACAATTAACGACGTACTTCCTTGCACTCAGTCCAATATGGAGGTAGACTTTGGTCAAACATGGAAAAGCAGGAGCCATTGCCTCGATCAGGAGATACACCAACTTCCACGACCTTTGCTGAGTCAAAGGATTGTAGACGGTGTGGAGATCTGGCCGCCTCCTGACCCTCCTGTACACTGAATATAAGTATTAACTTCTTTCTTATAGACCGTATGCTCTTTCGTATAAACTTGATTTCTTCAAGTATTCTTACGTATAGTTATTTACACAGCATATAAACTAAGGACAACATACCTAATCGTGCTCCTGTTGATTTCTGTATTATTTGCAGCACAAAATTAAGCTCATTTAAAGTGAAGGCCAATAGAGTTGAAACTATAAAACTGAAGTTAAGAGCTTCTTCCATATCACTCTTATTATATTTTTTCTGCCAAAGAACAAATTATTAAATAGAGATTTTTAAACAGTTGTAGAGGGTCAATCTGCAATCAGCACAGATGGAAATGATATACAACGAATTTTAATGCATGCGAAGTAAAGAATCATCCGTTTTTGGATGGATCATTTCCAAACGATAATCCCTTAATTTAATCTACCTTTAATTCAAAATTCACGAACCCGACGGCTGTCCAACTTTGTTTAAAGCTAACACTAGTGGACAAATAATTCTTCCATAAGAAGGCCGAGATTTGACGTAAGTGAATGTGCAATTCTCCGTAGATATCACGTTAACGGCTTCTTTAAGTTGATATCAGGTTTATTTCATCCATATTATTTCACTGAGTCAACACCTCTGACATTGTCACTTAGTTTGTTTTAAATTGAAGACTAGCTTTGGTCGTCTTCCAGGAACGAACTGTAGTTGGTCCAGGAAAATCAAGATAAAGAACCTGAGCAAATCTCTTTTCCTCTTGGCACAACTCTGAAGCCAGTTGCTAGAAATTTGCAAACTATGACCCTCCTTTTGTGGGGAAGCTTATCCAGAGCTTAAAAGTGTCAAAATTATCCAACTGAGGATAATGAAGTGGTTAATAAAATGGCAAGTAAATACTCTATCTGCTTTGTGATAAGTTATATTTGTTTACACTTTCCTACTTCTTCGGTAATTGAGTCCTTGCTTAGCTATTGAAATCGTGAATTGAGTAATATTAGCACAATAGAAAATGCAGAAATAACTCCACTTAGCAGGGTGAAGGGATAGCTTATTTCATAAGCACTTCAAATCCATAGTGAGCAAAATTCAACCGTTCATCAATGATATAATCATGCTTATTTGATCACCAAACCAAATCGAAAGGAATATTCTCCATCTAACTTGGGACTGCTGTGCTCTTTCTGAAGTTAATGATGGTATAATTCGAATACTGAAATCGAACCTATCAAGGCCAAACTTGAGGAGTTAGCTGTTTTAAACGGGACTCTATATGATAAAAAAATTTCATCAGAATATTTTCAGCTTGTTGAAACGGCATTTGTGAAGGAGGAGGCGGAAGTGATCTATTTCGACCAACTCATTAGCAAACACAGCTCAAAATTTGGTAAATCTTCTTGACCACTAAAAATTGTCGTAAGAAATGCTGCTTGATCGGCAGTGAGCCTTTGGAAGGACAACGCTATTGCTCGATATCAATCTAAATAGAAACAAAGACTGATAAGTAGTGAGTCCAATCCAAGTATTCTAGAAAAAATATCAGCCGCATTTTAATTAAATAAGTTGTTATTTTCGACCTTGAATCAAAATATAAAAAAATACCAGATTTACTTTTTTCGACCAGATGAACTTTCTATAAGAATGCTACTCAACCTTGCTAATTTATTATCTAACCTTGTGCAACCACAATTTCCCTAAGGCCACTCAAGTCCATTCAGATGAGTGTTATCAACCTTTGAATAATAGGAAGATTGTCTGCAGCCATTTAAATCCCTCTTTTTAACTGACCTAATCGGCGTGGTTCGTCATTCATGACACAGGGAGTGCAAAGACCAACAATGCTCTTCCAGCCTTCATCTTTTCAGACGATCACGTTGAGCACTGAGCTATGGTCATTTCAACATACATTTTAGTATAAGACTCAAGTCCTGTAGCATCTCTGATATAAAGTGGTTCATATGCCAGTGAAATTTGTGGTCGCAGTTAATGTTTGATAGTAGATCAATATGGAACCCATGGCGGCTGATCTTATGGGCATTCACGCTGACCGCGAAACTGTCGGTGCATAGAGAGACCTTCGTTTTATACACCATTGTAGTAGTTCTGGAATTTGGAATTGCCCTAATTCAATAAATTATTTGCTAACAACATTTGGTTTTGGAAGATGGGTGGTAACCAGGAGCACCTCTGCTGGAATCTTGCTTTTTTCTCGTTCTTTCTGTTGACTAGAAGTAACCAATGCTGCTGGATTGCCTACCCGCTCTTCACATCTAAAATCCAGACAATGTCCATTTCATTGAGTTTTAATGTCCGTTTTCCATTTCTGCTGGTAACTCCGAAACAATTGTCCTTATATCTCTAGAACGAAATAAAGTTTAGTATTCAAATGTTATTGCAATAATTGAAATTGTCGGCAAAAATTATTGCTTTTAGTGAATTCTTATGCTCTTATTTTTACCTTCCTTTCCTAGATTTAATGGTAATATTTTCTTACCGAATATCATATTCATCTCCTTTTAATCTCCTATTTCTCAAGGAAGCCTTAATTTCCAAATAAGCATCATAAAAGGCCACAATTGTCATTAAAATTTCTGCTTCACTTTTATTTTAAGTTAACAGAGTTGATGAGCGTTCGAGTAATAATGAGTAATGCTACTTAAAAACTAATTACAGTCAACTTTTTTTTGCCCACACTTTTGGTTTTTTTAAGGAAGCAATAGGCCCTCCAAAAATGGCCTCATCCGCTGCTTTTATTCATTCTCTAATGCTTTACTTTGTTGAAGGCATAGATAACGTGAACTATGAGGTAAAATGCAAGGAGTTATTTGAGGTACTGACAGAGGATAACGTTCAAGTCTTCTTAAAAGTGCTTGTGGAAAATCGAATTTCAAAAGATGACATAAATTTGGAGATGCTTGCTGACTTGGTGTTTAAAATCAACGAACGTTTTCCTGAAACTCGCGAACTTGCCATCAAGGAACTCCTCAAGCCGATCCATGTGAGTTGAAGAAATAGTGTTTGAACTAACGGTCTTTGACCACAGTTTTCAAAACGTTAACCAATGCCAAATAAATCTACTTTTACAATCAGACTGCCATAAGCTTGTGGAATCATCTTTACAACGTACTGATTTTATAGACCAACAAAGCTCAACCGCTTTTCACACAGAAAAGGGGCGTTGAGCCGCTTCAGTATAGCATTCAATGGGCTCAAGGAAAGGGGATAGGAAATAGAGAGTGTAAAGTTTGGGCTATGCAGTCCTATGAGTCAAGTGTATCACTATAAAGCTTCCACCCACTACTGTTCTATTTCCTTCTTTTTTGCAGAAAATGTTCGGTTCCATTCCAGCAAATGGCTTTGACTACGGAATGGAGGCGGATTTAAGAAATCTTGGAAGATTTATGGGTTTACTGACCTTAATAAAGAATAAAACTATCCTCCAATATCACTTAGACCTGCGAGCACTTTTGATAGAAGGCATAATAAAAGGGGATAGTGCCCTTCGTTATGCTGTTCAATTTGTGTGCCAATTTCTGAAAGCAAGTCAAGGCTTAGTTTATCATCCATTTTATTCTTCCATTGTGAGAATTTTGAGATATCTGAGAATGATCTATGAAAAGGACGATGTGACGAAAATAGTTGAAACTGAGGTAAGAAGTATATTACTTCAATGGTGGCCTTTTAGATAAGGCTATTATTTGAATACCTTGGAATTAAAATAAAATTAATTCCTCAGTTAACGGAAACAGAATTACGTGTTCCATTAGGAGATCCGATCATCAAGTTTGAGCAATCTACGGATTCGCCATCTAAAGATAATTATAGGACAATTGTATAATACTCAAAGGATACCAATGTTTTTGTCACTTTGTCGCCTTTTTTCAGCGAAATTCAAATTATTCTCATAATCGGTCCCACACACTCACTTATTGTGTCGATTTTGCTTTGATTTTACATATCTCAATCCCACTACCTCTTATTTTGCAGCTGGTGAACAGGCCATTTAAAATGCTTTTGTAGTCATGGTGGTAATGAACTTCCATTTGTTACCCTGCGTGAGTATTGTTTATTCTTCTACCGTACAACAAATAAAGTGTTATTTTGGGTACGTTGAGTGTTATTTGCTTAAGAAAATAAAGTGAAGTGGGTGTTGTGGATGTGATCACTGTAATTAAAGAGACAGAAAGCAATCAAAATTTTGTGATAAATAAACCCACCATTGCGTTGACTGAAATTTGTTGCCTTTAGCATCAACTATTTTATTGCATGAGCTTATAGACGCACATTTGAACGTTAGGAAAGATGTTTTTTCCAACTTGGCGGAGCAGATAACGCCAAGGTCAACAAATATAGCGTCTGCCGCCATTGACAAAAAATCCACTTAATTCCCAGACCAGCCTCTCTAGTCTCAGGCAAGTGCAGTCAACTATGACAAAGTCCTGCAGTCTTGACAATTTAAGTTAGACCACTCATACGAAATAAGAATCATTTATTTATTTATTTCAAATGGCAGGCGTTTTGATAGCTATCATTAATCATTTAGCTGACTTCGGGCTTCTCAGAAGGAAGGTTCATCAAAGTAGAAGTAAATCGAGGAGTGGGGAACAGAAGAGCGATTCACAGATGCAAAAGAGGCAAGCAGATACAAAGGTAGGGAAAAAGGTGAGTACTGTGGAAGGGGTCGAATATGACAAGCAGTCGGGTCATGGTATTTTGAAGTCAGAGGTCAAATGCCGGTTAATAGACGTTTTTGCCGTATGAGTATACGTTGCCAGGATGCACCACGTGGAGGTAAGTCTATCGCACACACCAAATTAGAAT